TTCCTTCATAAACTGTTGACCATCCCTGGGACTTACCTGACAGGCAGCCGCACCTATTCCCGGGCTCCGGCACCGGGAGTAGAAAGCAAGGGCCTGTCGGCGAACCCCGTGGGACAACAGGTTCCCCCTGTTGTGTGTTGTTAACTGTAACTGAAGACTCCGTACCTGCGCTCTACCAAGCATAAGTTAATAAACCTAATCAATTAAGGGACATCCAGCTTCCGTGTCACTCAGAACTCCACCCCCGCTAAATCCAGCCTGTTCGTTCGGGTTCCACCGTGACACTTGGGACCCTTTCTCTGGGGAGGGAAACCCAGCTGCAAGTAGAGCTGTCAATTGCAGTTAACATGCACAATTAATGTGTTAATTGGTTCTTGCATCAATATTTTTAATGCATTAATTGCGCACTTGGTTTTTGAGCCTGTGGCCAGGCTCCACTCCACCGCCATCACCACTGCCTCTGGGCCACCCAGTAGGGCAGTGGTGGCAATACAGAGGATGGCAGAGCAGCCCAGGTGCAGGCTTTGGGCTGCTGCAGCAGGAAGTCGGGGGGAAGGTGGGGGGACACACATGCACACAAACAGACACACAGACGCAGATACGCACAAACGCACACAGATGCACACGAGCAGCCGCAGCATGCACGCAGTCAGGAATGCAGCCTGGCAGCATGTAAAGCAGTGCCCAGCAGGTAAGTCTGTGGAGGAGAAAGGGCAGGAAGGCAGACTGAGGCCCCCACAGTGAAGGGGGGGAGTGGGGCAGGGGCTGGGGTGCCACCAATTCTTCTCTATACCTAAAAAGAAAGTATCTTTGATAAATCAGACACTGCTCTGGAGTATCTCTTGGTAAATATTTATTGTACATGTATAATCAATTCTTGACTTCTGAGAAGCCCAGATGAATTTGCTGTATACATCAGGTTTATTACTCCCATAATGCTTGACTATCACCATACTTTTGGATGAAACTTTGAAACCTTACTCAGCTTGTAAGGCTTCCCAATATTTAGGCTTTATCATCCAAAATAAGACGGGTAACAGACCACAAAGTACAGGTCAATAGAAACTGATGAAATTTATCTCGGGGTGCTGAAGAAACTGGCCAAAGAAATCTAAGAGCCACTGGCAATAGTCTTTGCACAGCTGTTAGTGACACCCAAGGTCCTAAAGGACTGGAGAAGAGCTAATATAGTATCCATCATTTTTTTTAAAAAGGAGGAAGGGTGGAGTACAGAATTATAGAGCAGTTGGGCTGACCTCAATACCTGATAAATTACTGGAGCAAATCATAAAAAGCAATCAAGTTATAAACACCTAGAGGAGGAAGGGTTGATTACTAGCAGCCAACATGGATTTCTTCAGAACAAATTACGCTAAATCAAATTGATTGCTGGATCAGATTGATCCTTTGACAGGGATCTTTGTTTGGTGGAAAAAGTCTATGTGGGCATTAGTAAGGCTTTTCATATAGTCCCACAGGGCACTCTATCAGTAAACTGGAGAAATTAGAGAGAACCAGGTTAGAGAGAATTACTATACAGTAGATATCTAAGTGGATGAATAAACTGCAAGCAAAGAATAACTATAAACAGATCAATGTCAAAACAGTAGGAGGTTTAAAGTGAAGTTCCATTGGGGACTGTTCTGAGTCTAGTACTGCTTAACATTGTGATTAATGACTTGGAAGGAAGAATGGAAGAATTCCTGATCAAATTTGCAGATGACACAAAACTGGGAGGGGCTGCAAACAATAGAAGATAGAATTCAAAGGGGTCTTGTTAGATTAGAAAACTACAGAAAACACAGTTAAATTCAAAAGACAAATGTAAGGTTCGATATCTCAGAAGGAAAAATGAAATGCACAAATACAGAATGGTAGATAACTAGTCAGGTAGTAGTACTACTGGGAATAATTTGGGGATTATTATGGATCATGCACTCAACATGAAACAGTGGCATAATGCAGGCATAAACAAAGCAAAAGTTATTTGAGTTACATTGACAGAAAAATTGTACATATGATATAAAGGCAAGAGTACCACTCTGCACAGTGCTAGATGGAAGTCAGCCAGAGTTGCGTGTGCAGTTCTGGCCTCTGTAATTTAAGCAGGAGGCAGAGAAAATGGAGACAATCATGAACTGAGTGACAAAGATGATAAAGGAGTTGGAATGCAAACTGTATAAGGAAAGGTTGCAAGAACTAGGCATATTTAGTTTGGAGAAAAGAAGATTAAGGATGGACATAATATCAGTATTCAAGTATTTGAAAGGCTGCCATGAAGAGGGAGAACATGAGGGAAGAACATGCAAAAACAGTCAGAACAGCAAGACAGTGGACCAAGCTGCTGACAAAAGTTTTGACTCTCCTTCAATGGAGGTTTTCAATAAGACACTGGATAAACATCTGCCTGGGATGGCTTAGGAACAGCACATCCTGCACTGGTACAGGAGGCCAGATTAAATGACCCTTGAGGTCTCATCCAATCCTATGACTGGATTTTAAGCTAATTAAAACAATCTAGATAGTATTAACCCATACTAACAGCATGGACATTTTGTACACAGTTGGGAGTGAAAGAACATGTTACACCACAGCCTGCATTTACAACTCATAATTACAGCCTATTGTAATGAGATACAGAGTTAAAAATTCAGCTGTTTCAGCTGAATAAGAATCCACAGGTGAAAAATAGCCTAAGGAAATGACAAAATCAACTGTAGCCTGTTGGGTGGTTTATTTGCTAATACTTTCTCTGTCCAGTTAGCAAAGTAGGTTATCCTCACAGATTTATCATCACACATAGCACTCAGCAGCACTATATTGGTTACAGTCTCAGCAGAGAGCCAAACAGCGTGAAAAAGCATGGAGATAGAGATGAGTGAGTTAAGTCATGAGAATAAGAGACATTTAAGCTGCAGCAACTCTGCTGCCTTCTGACTGGTGCTCTTTAAATTCTGTAAGTGAGGAACCAGCATTAACCACTTCTTGCCCAAACAAACTAAAGGATTTTCAGGTCCTCAGATTACTTCCTCCTCAGTTACAAGACAAATTAATTTGTCCCCTTTGGCAGAATTTAAAATGTTTATGTATGGATTTTTGTGACATGGCTGTCAGCACAAGTGCACTTGGCAAAATAGCTAAGGTTTGTACACTAAAGAAAACAATGTGTTATTTATTCATCATGGAAATTAAACAACTTTGTGAAAAAGATCAAGCTGACACAGAATTTTCTAATGTCAAGTCTATGCTCCAAGCCCACCTGCCTAGCTAACAGAGTTTAAGTGAAGGTCAGAACTACTTATACACCCATGCCAAGATGATTCAG